CCTTCTCCTCCAAGGGGGAACGCAATGCCGCTGCGGCTGACATCACGGCAGCTGTGGGAGTTTGGGTGTTGCCAGACCTACGGCAATCCCCGCGCTTGACGAACTCAAGAAGTTCCTAATCGCGACTCTGTCAGTGTTGTCGGTCAAGGTGATACCGCTTGTCAATGACTTGTTTCAGTTGGTTGATTGCCGTAAATCGCGCGCATTCGTCGTCAGAGTGGAGCATTTGCCAACCGTGTGCAATTTGCGGCACACGGTGGCAATCCGTTAATGGCAGTAGTCCCAGTCCACCCTTGGACGTAGGTGCGTAGAAGAAGCTGGTGGTCGCCGACTTGGGTAGTCGTAACAGCCTCCGCAGATGATTGTTGAGTGCTCAATCAAACCCTTGTAGCTGCGCTTGAGGAGGGCGCAAGTGCCGCAGGCAGTATTCCAACTTCGGATATAAGTACACTTTGATGCTCTTGAGAATCTGGGACGGTGCCAGCGGCGATCTGCACAACGTCGCAAGTTCGCGCTTCACTGTTGTGAGTAGCTCAGTCAGTTGTGTCGCTTTCGGCCCGGGGTCATAGCTATCGGCTACTCCAAGATACTTGTACCCCTTAGTTAACTCAATCTTGGGAATGGCAGTCTCGCCGAATCGCAACTGCATCGTGTCTACCTGGCTGTGCCCTCTCTTCGAGTGCACCAGCGGGAGGGAGGCACACTTCTTTGGGTTGGCTCATAGAGATGTCCAGCGAAGGTATTTCACCACCAATGCATGTAGTTTCTCGATCCCTGTTTCCGTAGAGCTGAATATTTTGATGTCGTCCGCAAAGGCGGTTGCGTTCATGCTGATGTTGTCTCCCAGCTTGATGCCGACCTCTGGTTCCGCGGCAAGAGCCTGCAGCAACGGTTCGATTGCTGCGAGGAAGAGATACGGACTGAGGGGGCAACCCTGGTACACACCACGTCGCTGTCGGATCGGAGCGGTGGTCGCCGCATCCACTGGGCCCAGCACTACGAATGACGAGTCCTGGTAGATGTCGTTGGCTACGCTGATAAACGCATCTGGGGCCTGAAGCGCACGGAGGACGTCCCACAAGAACTGCTGCGGAATTGATCCAAACGCATTGGCTAAGTCGTACCATACCGCGAAGAGTTGGCGGCGCATTCTTTTCGCTTGAACCATTACGCTTGCCGCAATTAAGTTGTGCTCATGTGTCCCATTGAAGTATCTAAACCCTTTTTGTGCTGTCGTAAATCTTCCGTTTTGATCCATCAATCGCGAGAAGCGCGCAGCATGAATTCCCGAGTACAGCTTGTATATGCACGGTTGTAGGCAAATTGACCGCCAGTTGGTGGCATCGGTTGGATCGCCACGCTTGTAGATTAGCCGTGTTTCTCCGATCTTCCATGATGCTGGGATGCGTTGGTGCTCCTGACAGAAGTCGAAAGTCTCCGTGAGGAGTGGCAGTACCTGCTCTTCGAACCGTTTGTAGATGGCGTGTGGAACGCCGTCCAGGCCAGGGCTAGACTGTGCATTGGCACGTTTGAGTTGGAGGTGGACTTCACTTTCCGAGATAGGATCTGTCAGTATGTGCGCGTCCACAGCTGGGGGAAGTTTCTCAAGTGCTGTGCGAAAAGGCTGTCCGTCACTGGCTGCTAAGTCGAATGGGCAACCTTCTCCATTGATCTCCGTGAAGTGCTGCACCAGGATTGCAGATGTCAATGGGCAACGTGCCGAACCCGCGGTCTCATCTTGGTTAGAGTTCCGGAGAATCGAGTCCACACAGCGCTTTTCTTGGAAACGAAATCACCGGCGTAGCGTTCGGCGGCGAAAAGCGTTCCGTGCGCGGCCCACTCGACGGTGCGTTTTCTGGACAGCTTTGTCTCACTCGACGGTGCGTTTTCTGGACAGCTTTGTAGGTTCGATCAGGGTCACGAATGCGTTGGACGTCAGCAAGGTCCGCTTTTGCTTCATCAAACCACACTTGTAGACTGTCGATCCGCTCTGTTAGCTTTGCATTCGAGGTTCGAATAGAAACGAAAGGAGCGAGAACCCGGTGAAGTTCCGTCAGAATAACCTCAATGTAGCCCACTCCGATGCCTCAGGTACTGGCATCTTTAAGTTTCGCCGCCGGGTCCTGTGCCAATTTCCCAACTGTTGTATCAGCTGCTTGAGTCTCGTCTGGTTTGAGTTTGCGTAGTACTAGCCGTCGTTGCCGCATGGGTGAGCTTGCACTTGCTGTTCCAACTGGGAAGGTTGGGTAGACGCGACCGCCACCGCGAGCTGTTGTTTCTGCTCGGGCAGCACGTTCTGCTTCGCGTTCTGCGTCGCAGTCGGGTTTCTCCGTGTGTAAGTTTGTGAGTCCAGTCGGTGGTGCATCGGACTCTGTTGCTGCTGAGGTCGTGCCATTCGACTCGGAGTTCCCATGGTAGCAGCCCTCTGCGGCGTTCAAGTGTGCCCGACATTCCGGTGTTTGTGCGTGACCATAGGGAACACGCTCTGCTAGTATTTCCGCTTGATTATTTGTGACTGCGTCAATGTCGTGTACTTCCCAGTGCTCGAACCGCGGGAGTAGTTTCGATGTCTTCCTCCGCAAGGATTATATGCGTACATTGTGGGATTGTACCGTTCCGTCAAGCTGACCTAGTATCAGGGTCTCAGTGCTTTCGATCTTAATATGACTGCATTCATGGTGGAGCGCGGCCAGTAGTCCTGTGCGCAGCGCGGTGTATGCCGTGGATATGCGGGTGTTGCGGGTGGACACTTTGGTTGCACAAAATTGCCAGCAGACAATGTCGTCTGGACCGCGGATGACCGCGGCGCTGCCGGTCCGACGTTGATGCGCTCCAGTCAATTGCTCTGTCCATAGCTTGTCCTGTAGGGGTGAGGAGCAGCCCGGTGCGAGAGTCGACGTCGTATTCAGCGTATTCATCGCGGTGGCGGGGGCGAATTCCATCGTGGTCTGGTCGTCGGGTTGCAAGGAGAGCTCCACCAGCGCAGACGCCAGCATGGAAGGACAGAGCAACCAGTGAACGATGGAGATGGACGCGGTTAAGCAGCTCTAGTGGTCGAGAGGAACGGCAATGCTCGACGCAGTACACGTGTATGCGTTCGTGCTGGACGATTTTGCGACTGAAGGGGGGAGAAGCTGTGGACCACTCAAATCGATCGAGCAGAACGATTTCCATTGTCTACCTGCTGCTGAGTTTAGGGGATGCGTGATAACCCCCTTTTTATTACTGTGGTTTTCTGCCCATTCTATACTCTGCACACAGCCACTTTCTTAGAAACGTAGCCCCCATTTTCAAACCACGCAAGCGGGGCGACAGTTCGGACGTAACTTACATGCATATATGCATGTCATAGAGCTTTATAGCCGCACCCACACAATAAACGTTTTACATAGCACTATATGACATGTACGACTAGATTTCCAACAAAATAGCTATTATGTATAGGTTTATC